AATGCAATTATCTTGACTTCTAGTGATCCAATTTTAATAAACTTTTTTTTAATTTATAGCTCTCATTTAGCTCTACAAATCTAGCTTTACAAAACAAAAAAAAGTTTGTTCAAATTAAATTGCTAGAAGCTAAGATATTTGTATTTACATTATAATAATTATTATAATGCAATTATCTTGACTTCTAGTGATCCAATTTTAATAAACTTTTTTTTAATTTATAGCTCTCATTTAGTTCTATAAATCTAGCAATATTTAATAGTAATAATTTTTTTAGCCAATCAGATTTCAATCAGGGTTAAGGCTACTAATTGAGAGAAATCAGCTGATTTCTGACACGCCCTTTAGATATTAATTTTATTAAAATAATTAAATATTTATTTAGTAATTAGCATTTTTTTTCAATTTTTATTAAAGATTTTAAATAATATATTTGCTTATTAAATTTAATAAAAATATTATTTTTTGAATTTTTTTATTGTAAAATAAAATAATAATATTCTATTCTATAGTTAGTTTAAATTTATTTTAATATTTAAATAGATAACTTACAAACTGTATCTTAGACTTTTTCTTTTTTTCTTTTTTTTCTTTTCCTTTTTTTTGTCTTCTGATAAATATGTACAACATAAGCCAATCAAAAAATTTGAATGCCTATTTGTCACCTCCTGTAAGTTGTATGAATTTTATGCATATCCTAAATGTGTGACAGATTATGCCGATAATAAATTTTACTTTTTTTGGAAATGATTGACAAATGTGTCACAGACAGTTTTCTACAAAAATAAAAAAACTTATGTTCAAAAACCTTAAAATTATATAGAGGGATGTAATTTTGCCTGCTCTGCAATTTTATTTACATACTTAAACAATATGTTCGGCGTAACCAGTCACACATTTAGGACGTGCCATTTAGGACGTGCCAATTTAATTAAATATTACGCCATTTATATAATCAATTCAAAATTAAATTTATATTTATACAGTTACAGTATTTTGATAATTCCCCTCAGCTTTTCAGAATTTATGTTGTCATACATTAAAGTAGTTAGCTAACAAAAACTTATGAAATTATTTTTTTCTAAATATAGTAAAACATCCGTTAGACAATTTAAATCCTGTACTTTAGTATTCAGTCAGGCCAACATTGTTTAGATTTAAATGACATAATTATTTATTTTTAGAATATTCATCATTGAATTCGATTTTGCCGTAATACAAATATTGCGTGTTCTTTCGTGATTTTCTAATCATAGTTCGCACTTTCTCTTGCTACATAAATTAAAAAAAAAAAAAAAAAAGATTATTTGAATAATAAGCTTATTATAAAATAATAAATTCGAGTATCGGATATTTGCAAACTATAAAATAAAATGTTCAGTACACGCGAGAAAGTAAAGTGGTACGATACAATTTTACCTTGTAAAAGATCTGTTGTGCATATGGATTGCATCGAGACAGGTAATTTATTTTTCTTTGTATGGTAGCTTGATGCACAAGGTAATTTGGTACTTGATACAGTAACACAATTTCAGGTTTAAATTTAGAAATAATAACTATTGTGTAATTTCTCGCCTCTAATTTATATAAATATGCATCAACCCCTCTATCAAACTTCGAGTAAAAAAAATTTTAAATCTTTTTCAACCGTTTAACAACTTTTTATAGCTTATCGTTATAAAAGTGTAAAATATAGAAACATCGAATAGTATTTGAGAGAAATTTTGTATCTCTTATCTCTTGTATATAAAACTAGATTTCAACATTTTTGCCTTCCTGACATTACTTTGAAGCATTTGCTGGACAATCGCATCATCCCTTATAATATCCATTATATCACTCCTAAAATTTTTTCATTAAAATTATGCAATTTACAAACGAGGGACAAAAGTCTGGATGGTTGACAAAGCTTGGAGGAAACTCTCTAAGAAAAACTTGGAAGCGTCGATGGTTTGATTTAAGAGGAAGTTATTTATATTATTATCGACAACAGGTTTGTGTAATTTCGGGTGGCTTGGTGAAGTTTACATCTATACCTAAAATACTTAAATTATTTAAATTTTCAGAACGACACAGAACCTTCAGGAGTGATAAATCTTTCATTATTTAACTCAATATGCCAAGATTCGTCCGCCACAAAAAAATCACAATATTGTATACGTATCGAAAAGGTTATACGTGAATCTGATTCGATTAATTCTAACATAAGCTATCGAGAAACAATTTCCATAAAAAAAGCAACTTTATTTCTTGCATTCGCCGATAGTGAAAGTGAAATGCAGGATTGGATTACGATACTTGAAAAACGTTTGGGTGGACGAAATATTGTTGATATTGTTCTAGATAGATTAGAACTTTTTAACGGTATGGGAATACATAGAAGACAAGGAAGTTATGGTTCATTGAATTCGTTTTATTCCAGGAATAGCAGCTTTTATTCTTCAGGTGGTTCGACATCTGAATCAACTTTATCTTCTAGACGTCCATCTTTGGATTCTCTCAGCATAGATACTCCATCTTTAGACTCTAGGAGTTCAATTGATTCATTTCATAATGGACAAAGTAGTGTTGCTAGTACAACTATTTCACAAAAACAATCATTTTCTCGCCCAGAGACTCCTTCAAGTTTAGTTGAAAGACTTGGAATAGGACAACCAATTCTTCGTAAACCTGCTTCACACTCATGTTTGCAGGATAGACGTAACGTAAATGGTCACAATAGTTCGAATAATAGCAAACTTGTTCGTAAACTCTCTCTTACTTTCAAAGAATCACCAAATAGAATTCCGTCAGCTCCACTAATTATGGTACATGGAGAAAACTCGAAATTTACATCTTCGCCCGATGTCGTTTACTTTCCAAAGCATTGTAACAAAAAGAAAATAGAGGAAGATAAATTAATTGGAAATCCGAGTCCACCTTCACCTGCTACTCCAATTGCGAATGTATTTCCGAGCCATTTAGCAGATAATTAATGAACTTGTCAAAATATAAATATAAATACAATATGTTTATTTTAAAAAAAAAAAAATTTAACCATATACATGATTTTTGGATTTTAAGGGGATAAATGAACAAGATGTCTCTCCTTTTTTTTCATTTGCAAAGTTTGTACATATGCAATACCATTAATACCATTTTACCAGTTTGTAATTTGCTTATCATAAAATTTTTATTCTAAAGTAATGTTTCCCTTTATATAGACTTGTTAAATATTATATTCCTCCAAAAGCATTGCATGCATTTTAGTTTTCTATTTTCGTCTACTTTATCGACGACAGTTTAAGATTTATCTTCTTAATAGATTTTTTATTATTATTCTTCAAAAAATTATCATCAAATAAAGCATTGGTGACTTTGTAGAAAGGTTGAATAAAATTTATAATGATAGTATTTGCCTGTAACAAATCTTTCTAATTTCTAATATGCGTTTTTTTATTTAATGATACAATAACTTTTATATAATAGTTATTGTGTCAGACAGTCAGACAAGATCATGCTGAAAATATAATTAGGTGATGTTTTGATGAAAATATTATCTGTTATAGCCTACATGATTGCAAATATTTAGCCATTAACAAAATCACTATCCTAATAGACTGACCAATAAATTATTTTTTTAAAGCATTATAAATTAACTTAAATAAAATAAATAAAATACAATTATTTCATAAAGTAATAAATCACACGAAATATTCTGATAATGATAAACTAAATTAATCTATCAAAATTGGTAACCTATTATTATATAATGAACTATTTTATTTAGTATTAGTTTTCGCTAAATCCCGAACTTCTAATATCATAACTTATCTCGTTACAACCTCATCGTAGGCAGGTGGCAGCTCATCTGGAGCTACTGGTGGTTGTCTAGCTTCGGTGGAAGTAGAAATGTTACGAGAAGTTGTAGCGTCAACAGATGGCTCAAGGCTATTGAGAGGAGCTCCTGATGATACAACATTACTGCAAGATGACGTTGATATTTGTGCTGATGAAGAATTGTCTTGACGCGGTGTATACATTGGCAACGGTTCAGTATGTTCTACAGGAGCGGTTCCCTCGTTCTCTATTATTATTGAAGATATTACTTGATATGCATTATGGATTGTTAATAAAATATCATTTTAAATATAAACCCTACCAAATAATCTCAACATTAAGTTTTTATAAACTGTGCTGAATTCAAATCCGCCTATATAATTGATATTGATATATAAGTACTATATTAATAATTATTTTATTAAATGTAAAGGATCGAATAATAATTTATACCTCCTTCTTTGAAGGTAACTTTTAATTGTCCTGGAGCTGGTAATCCTCCATTCAGAACCTAATATTATCCAATATAAAGTTTTATTTAAACAAATATCAAAATAGAAAAAATTTTTCAATCGCGAAATACATACCGGAGTTACAACAGCTTGATAATAATTTGCCCCAAACCAAGGTTGTTGAAGCTTTCCTTCTTTTAAATTTAAAAGAGGTATACTCAAAGATTTAAAGTGTTCCAAGGATGGTTGTGAAATAAATATTACCTAGAGAATGATAACTTTAAATACTCTGAAATTCAACTTAAAGCGAATCTAAACTATACTTTTGGAAATATACATACGCGTTGGTTTGTTAAATATATGCCTCCGTCGGCTTTAAGAGTCTCTGCATTACCTGGGTAACCACTAGCATATTAAGTAAAAATACATAATAGAATAAGTTTTTTCTTAAAGGAAAATTAAAAACAAATAAAATAAATAAACAAGTGTATACCTTCCCATGTCCAAGATAAGGGAAACTTTGTCCTGTCTATAGTTTAAATATATGTATGAGTTGTAAATCATATTTGATTTCAAAGCGAATTATATGGCTTACTCTAAAAGAATCTTCTCTCCAGGAAGAGGTACCGGACTTTTCCCATCAGAAGCGACCATAGCCCAATTCAACGCCATTGTGAATTAACTAATAAAAAAGAAGTGTGTCAATAAAAGTATTATTGACATCGTACAGATCAGTGACTTTATTAGTATCCGCAGTAAAAATTAGATATCTTTGATCGGTCTCCATTTTTTTGAAAAGCAATTTTTTTTTTTTAAAAGTCGAGGTATATATTGATTATTTTTTATTTGATACCCAAATTTTATATGATGATATGAGTCCATATAGTTTCAGGTGATTTTAATGAGCCAAGAGACAAGTAAACATGCACTACCATCTGAATAATAACAAATATTTTGAACAAATACAATCTTTTAAACTGTAATTTAATATTTTAATATATTGAATTTTTTAGGTTTTCAAGAAAATTGTCTTTATAAAGGTATTTATTCGAAATAATTTTTTTCACATATTTTTGATCCTTATGATGATATTCATAATTATACAGTTCTGCTTCTGATATATCGTGAAGTAACAATTACCAAACTCAAGTCTGATGTTGAAATTCATTCGTAATAATTATCTTTGAAAGTGTCAGCATAACTAATAGTACATTTATTTATTCAGGAACATCGTATTAAATTCGCTTTCATATAGGTACATATTTAAAAAAAAAAGTTTTTTTGATTAATTCGAGATGATGTTTTTAAATCAAAATCCGTGTTTCAGATGAATTTACCTTTATGATTATATTTTTCTTGATTCCTGATTGTAATGATTACCTTTGGTTTCTCTTATTTTTAATTATTATCACTAATTCATTTTTATTGCCAATAGGATGCATAAAGATGAAAGTTCCTCACTATTTTGATCACGGTTTAATTGTATTTTAACTAATTCCATCATTTTTATAATTATCCGTCGATAGCAATGTAAGTAGATAATTTTCTTTGAATTGTCTATTTGATATGATGAACTATAGTTACATCCATTCGATGATTGGGAATCACATTGCGTACAACCATCAGAGTGACATTTTTTCCATCGAAGGTTCTCTTTGATAAATTGATGAAGCTTACTGGCTAATCGCGATGGGAGATTTGTTTAGTTCATTCTGATTTTTATGAATTTTCAGATCTCTTCTGTATTCCTGCAAGATATGAAATAACTTCTGAGATATTTATTAATTCATTATTAATTTTTTTTCTTTTCGAAAAATATTAATAAATTTTATCGTTTTTAGGTATTAAATTTTAGTCAATTATTTTAATACGAAGTTAACTGTAATAATTTATTAAAAATTATAAAAATAACATGATTACAGTAGAAGTTGTGACTATTTTGGCGCTTTTTTCTATATACTGTATTAACTATTAAATTATCATCAAATTTGGGTTATGAATTGTGATATAATTTCTGCATAATTTGATTTCGTCTACGTGTCTAAACTCTAAAGGAGGTTTATCGACACATATTTCTTCATTTGTGTTTCCTCCGCTCTGCAAATCTATAACCAACAAGGTTAGCTCGGTCATAAATAATCACCTGTCATTAAGGGTGTTTATGTTGCCATATCTGGAATTTTCTCAGCTCGTTCATTATATATAAACGAAAGGGCGCTATTACCTTTTTTTTCATACCTTTAGTTAAATAAATGATCTCTCATTTCTTACACTTCAATTAACCTTTGTTGCAAGTTTATAAAGGTTTATTGCTATTTATTATTATTTTTTTATACATATATCTTTATTCTTACATTTTCGACAATCCGTTTCATTTATTTTTTTTTATTCTAGAATGGGTGTAATACTTTCACGTTTTCGGTCGCAAAGTGATGATAATTATGAAAAAATTCTTTCAGAACTCGACGATGATATTGGTCGAGCTGAGGTTCGCTTACGTGAGATAAGAATTCGTGAGCGTAGTGCGTTGATAATTTGGATCGTGTATTCTATGTTGGCCTACGTTGCATATGTGGCAGGTTATTGGTACTTTGTTTATATGTCTATTGAAGAAGAAGGGTGGGATTTTATGAAAATTGCACCAGTCTTTACTGGTCCTTTTTTCATAGTAATTGGGTATAGATTTTTGGCCTTATGGTATAAACGAAAAGAAACAACTGAAATATCACAACTCGAACACCTAAGAGCTAAACAAAAGTTAAAAGTAGAAGAGCTTAAAAAGAAAACCGGATATTATACAACTAAAACTTTACTGGATCGTTATGATTCGTCTAAAGGGCAAATAAATCAACAAAATGTACCTGTACGTCCCGTACAATCTATTAATCCTAGTCTTCGTCAACGAAATGTTCCCAATCCTCAAGTACCAGAAATTAATAGTATTAATGGAGATTCAAGAAGTAACAATATAGAACTTAACATTGGTGGTAACGCACCACGTCCTAATTCTTACGATCCAAATAGTCCAAATTCAATTACACCTCTTCAAAGGCGGTGGTATGATAAGTTAGTGGATGTGATTGTTGGTGATGATGAACAAAAGTATGCATTAATTTGTCAAACCTGTTTTACGTGGAATGGATTAGCTCATCCCGCAGATTTTGAAGATGTTCAATATTATTGTAAAAAATGTAATCATTTTAATCCATCTCGGCGAAGTCAACGTAATGAAACATCTTTAAGCGCACCATCCAGTCTCACAAATGGTAATGATAGTAACGGTAATAATAATCATCTTAACATCACTAATGGTCACTTCAATAAGTCAAATGATCCATCTCAACTAGGTGACCCTTTAACCCCGCGAAGAGGACGTTCAACCACGCCAAGACCCATGAGTCGTAGCAATTCTTCGGACCCCGAAAAAGTAATCGATAATGATGATTATGATGATGATGGTGTAGCTGTTAGTAAAGCTTTGGCCTCTAGATCTAGCAGCCGGAAGAGAAGGAGCAGTCGAAGTCAAAATAGGGTTGGAGATAGTCGTCGTGGAAGTAACGATGACGTTAAACCATACTCAACCAGTGATGATGAAAACGTTTCTCGCGAAGAGTAAAATTTTTTTTTCTTTTGTTGATAACCTTTTACAAAAGAGAGGGAAAATGTCAAAAAAAAGGAGAGAAAGAAATTAAATTTTACGATTTAGATTTATATAGCATTTTGGCGCGGCAGATGAAAATATATTCAAATAGTTCTTTTTATATTTTATGTTTTTTAATTCCTAAATCAAAGAAGATAAGAGATAAATTTTCATTATTGAAATTACTACATTCACAATATACTACATATTTGCAAGAAAACAACAATAATCTTATATATATATACATATGAACTATTAGACGAGAGGATTGTTCGTATAAACGATTAGACCTATATACTAGGCAAGATACTGATTTTCATAATATAATTTAAGGTTCGTAAAAAAAAAATTCTCTCTCTTGTTTATTTGAAAATTTGGACCTATTATAAGTAATTTTATAAATAATAAGAGCCGAGAAAAATTTACAATCAATTACCCGGACAAAAGAAACAATAAACAAAAAAAAATCAATTTGTAAAAATTATAAAATTATTTACATTTATAATTTATAACAATGGCAATAAATACATAAATTTATAATAAATTTTTCAAAGTGCGATCAAGTCATGACATTTGAATTAAATTTTGTTGACTAACTTATTTTTTTTGACTTTTTTTTAGTTCGAACGAATATTAATAACCAATCAGGAATTACAATTATTAAGGGGTTAGTTGTCTTCTTTGAGGCAGCCTAGGTCCGTTAAGGCCGTCTTCTAATATAGAATGCTTAAAACTTTCCCGTGTTTCCTTTAGCGGTGCAATAGTTATACTCGCACATGGACGTATACTCCAATGATGCAGTTTATTCTTAAGCCGGATAAGCCGATTTCTTAAATAGAACCAAGCTAGTCAACCAAAAAGTATAGTATGTCACGTGAAATAATCTACTCTACAAGACAAAAAAAGTCTTTCTCGTTCCACATAAAAGGAACTATTATTTTCGCGTATATAGAATAATATTTCGCAAAGTTACACACCCAAAAGAAAAATATCATCACTTATTTTACACGAAAGATATTATTATCATCTTTGCTCATTGTTTCACACGAAAAATATTATCTTGCACTATAACTACAGTCAACCCTCTCTAAGTGCACCCCCCTTAGGACCAGACATGAACGTGCACTTATAGAGGGTGTGCACTTATATAATTTTATAAAATTTCATGTGATATATAAAAAAATTATACTTTATTATTATTTATTATATTATTGTTTATTTTATTATGTTCAAAACTATTATTATTAAGATCATTATACTAAAATTAGTTATACCAAAATTATAATTATTAATTAAAATATTGATTTATAGTAGTTGAATTTCTCTCTTTCTTCCTGATAAATTTTTCAATCGTATTCACCAATTTAAATGTTCATATGCATATTCTTGCTGTGTATGCACTTTTTTCAAGCTTTTTGATGTAACACTAAAATTAATAACTTCTTCTTCAATACTATTATCAATTTCATTTAAATCATCATTAATATTTTTCTCATTTGGCTTTTTTTTCAATTTCTGTAATAATTTCATCATTATCAAGAATTTATTCTCTTCAGGAATATTGAAAAACTCTTCCAATTCCATCATATCAGAAAAATTAAGAGTTTTAAGAGTATTGGTAAACTCATTAGACATTTTGTAATCATCCAAAGGAAAATTTGGGTTAACATTAGTATCAATAGAAAGAATCTTTGTATACTGCCAGCAATTATAAATAGTTTCAGCTGTAACATTATTCCAACCTTGAATAATATATTGAATTGCTTGCAAAATACTCATCTTTAAATCTTGTACATATTTACTAGTTTGAACTTGCTTCAACTAATATTCAGCTAAAATCATAATGTTAAATTTAATGAAATAAATAAAATAAAATAAAATTTATAACTTACTGAATAGGAAAATAATGGTAATGTTTCTTAAAAAATATGATAATTCTAGCATCCATTAGTTAAATCTTTGAAGTTATATTTGAAGGTAAAAAGTAAACTTCAATATGTGAAAGAACTAAACCTTTTAGTTTATAACTTGTACAATTATCAAAAAATAGCAAAATACATTGATTTCCATACCTGATAACTCTTTAAGCCACTCTTGAAAAAGAATAATAGTTATTCAAGTTTTATTATTGTCTGATACATTGTTGGTAAATTGTTAAGATTAACATTTTTAAAATATTGTAGCTTTGCAAATTTTTCAATTATTAAAGAATCCAATTTATGCGACCTATCAGCATTTGCACATAAAGTAATTGAAAAACACTCCTTATTTTTTTCGTTCAAAAATATATTTTATAGCTAGTGTTTAATCTGATTCTAGCTATTTAAAAGATTATAATTATAATTCTAATAAAATTGCAAAAGATATATATAATAATAATAATAGTTCTGATTCACTATTACTTTCTGATTCATTTTTTTTTTTTTAACTGCAATGCATTTAGTAGTTTATTAAATAAAAATTAAAGCAAAATACATAAGTAAATATAATCTTAAACTACAATCTAATATTATTAACTACTAAACCATTCGTCATATTAAAAAGCACCCCACATATACACTGTCAGGTGATACATTTTACTTAGAGAGTAAAAAATGTTTAAAACTTTCTATTTTAGTATAAACACCTTTCTTTCTTTATAAGGTGATTACAGGATTCACTACATCATGATTAACCAAAAAAAAAAACATTTTTTATGCAAAGCAATTGATATTAAACAACTAGATAGATCTTTTCACATATACTCAGCTAAAACTGATGTTAAGCAATTTCATTTAATCAAGTTATAGAATCCTGCAAGCATAGTGTAATAATCAAGGACTAACCAGCTATAAACAGAAGAATTCATACGCTTACTAGTACCCTATAAAAAGTATTATACTTAAAATATATTTAAAATATATTTAAAATATACTTAATTTAAAAATTGCAAAATACTTATCCCTTCGTTTGTAGACCTTGGCAGGCAAATTTGCCTGCCAGCAAAATCATGAGCCATTTAGCAATCATAGAAAAATGAAATATATCTTATTAGAATCGTCTCACCAAAACGAATCCAATGGTGGTAAACACATGCCTTTAGGTGTGGTAGATCAGTTGCAAATTGGGAAAAGATTAGCAGATCAGCATAATTATATGCTTTATATTTTTTCAATTTATGACAGATTTATCATACCTAGAAATACGTGGTTACTACCATTAGATTCGTCATGATGAGACAATTCTAATGAGCTGTATTCTACATTTTTATGACTAGAATTTTTGCTTAGAAATTTTACAGACAAATAAGTTTCAAATAAGTAGGTAAATTTGCCTGCTAAATTTCTAAGCAAAATTATGAGCCATCTAGTGATCATAGGAGGATGAAATACAGTTCATTGGAATCGTCTCATCATGACAAATCTAATGGTAGTAACTATGTATTTCTAAGTGCAATAAATCTGTTACAAATTGGAAAAATATAAAGTATATAATTATGCTGATCTGTTAATCTTTTTCCAATTTGCAACTGATTTATCACACCTAAAGGCATATGCTTACCGCCATTGGATTCGTCTTGATAAGATGATTTTAATGAGCTGTATTTCAGTTTTCTATGATTATTGGATGGCTCATAATTTTGCTGGCAGGCAAATTTGCCTGCCAAGGTCTACAAACAAAGTGATAATATATTTTTAATATATTTAAACGACATTACTAAATCACACCACTGGTGCCCAACACCGCAGGTGTTTAGCACCACATTTTTTTTTATAATACATTTTATAATAATTGTAAAATTGTGCGAAACTAAATTATGCATTGTAAATTATTTATAAATTATTTAATAAAATAAATTTTATGAATCATTCAAATCATATTTTATTCAAAAAAACTATGCAACACATTCTTCATCTTTTTTATTGGGACAAGTACGTGAATTATGACCTTTTTGATTACAAACACGGCATTTTCTTACATTGCTTCTGCTATTTTCTTCCATACCATCATCTAATCCAGGATCTGTATTATTTTCATTTGACTTGTCCCTTAATACTATACAAATTCGTTTATGAACTTTTTCTTGATTTTCTCTATCACTATCATCCTGTTTATTTTGATTAAAATTTTTGGATATCACTCTTTTTTTGCCCTTATTTGTAGTATTTGTTTGATTTGAATCTTTGGGTTTTCGTTTTTTTTTCCTGATGTGAATTGGATTACTAATGGTATTAGCAAAATCGTTGCAATTACCTCCATTTATAACTTGTTCTGAAATTTCATCCTCAATCTCTTTGGCAAATCTTGCATGTATTTCATAAAGTTCATCTATTCTACCAGCTGCAATTGCCAAGTTTAATGTTTTCTTCATTATACCAAATCCTTTTCCCCATTGTTATTTATGTGTCATTTCTTGACGAACTTCTTCTGTAAAAACATAACTACCACGAATACTTTCTAGATGTAAGAAATCCATTTGTATAATATATTCAATTGTGTCAAATTTATCATTTGAACATACTGAAAGAGCTGGTTCATTTAAAAAAGCTGAATTTCCTTCCATAATTAATGCATCTGCATTATAGTTGTTTCCGAAATTCAATTGGCAAATCCGAAATCTGAAATTATGAAATCGTAATTAATTACGTATTCTGAAATTCCGAAATTTGTATAATAGTGCGAAATTGCGAATATCTCGAGATCTAGTGATCAGATTTCGATGATCTTACTACCATTCGATTCGTCTCATCGAGGCGAATCTAATGATATGTGTTTCATTTCTATAGCACCGATATTGATGGAGTTAATTTACTATAAATATTTAATGAATTTTGGTGTCGGAGCACGATCTAGTGATTAGATTTGAATGAATTTACCACCATTCGATTCGTCATGACGAGACGATTCTAATGGCGGTAAGATCATCTTTCTAGCATTGAAATTAACGGAACTATTATGCTATAAATATTTAAAAGTTATTGGTATCGGAGCGCGATCTAGTGATTGGATTTAAATGATCTTACTACCATTAGAATCGCCTTATCGAGACGAATCAAATGGTAGTAAGATCATCCAAAACGGATCACTGGGTGCCGAGTTATTATTTATTAAAGTTTTTATATATAAATCGGCCAAAATTAAGCTAATTCTGGCCAAATATTTTCGTAATACGAAATTAATTACGGAGTCTGAAATTAATTACGGAATACGGAGTTTTTCTAATGAATTACTTAATAATTACAGAATTACGTAATTACGTATTTCTGTAATACTAAAATAATTTCGGACACAAGTATAATCTGCATACCAGCGTTGTGATATAAGACCAATATGAAATTTAGCATTTGGGGATAATAACATTAATGCAAAGAAGTGACGACATACAAGACCACGATTGATTAGTGTTAAACATGTACACAAGTGTGCAGCATTGTCATACAATATAATAAAGTGTTCACTTTTCCTGTCTATTGAAGAAATGCGCCAAAGTTCAGTAATTCATTTCATGTCAAGATCTGCGATTAGCTGTTTGAGTTCAATTACACATGCATCAAACATTTCTTCTGAGAAAATTCCATTTGGTATTTCAGCAGTAAACTAAAGTACATGTAAATTTATAAAATAAAAGGTTATAGTAAGGAACGAGCAGGATAAAAAATAAAAAATAGTTAATACCTGCTTTTCAAGTTCATTCTCCAAATTAGTAATGCAGCATCGATAATGCATACTGCGATTCATTTCATGTCGCTGAAGTTTAAGAAGAGCTGGCGTTAAATAGCGTTGGCAATATATATCAATTTTTTTATAGTAATAATCATGATAATCCTCTTCTCGGGATACAGGAAGTTTTCCAATTGTATTGTTGAGTTGTGCATATCGGCTTTCTTTTATGAGTAGCCTTTCAATAGTACGTTCAAGTTCTATAAGAGATGATGATCCATTAATGTTATTCTTAATTATACCATTATACGATTCAACACGTTGTGTACTCTGCACCCCTGCATTAAATGCACAATGTGTAAAATATAATGCCCAAGCTTCTCTACACTTATAAAGATGACGTTGCAAATAATTAGCGGCATCATCATACTTTTGTAATAATGCAGCCCACTTTTCTTCAAAAATAAACTCAACATGGCTATTACGTGTACGACAGAAAGCTGTAAAAAATTCTTTCCATTTCTCTCCACCATATTTACCAAGAAAATGTTTTTCCAAATTTTTTCGGATATGGAACAGGCAAAAATGATGCTTTGTTGTTGTCCAAGTACTGCTTGCTGCTGTAACCATCGCTGGGTCAGCATCTGTGTAAAGTAATTTTGGTATCAATCCATTTGTTGCCTTAGAAATACTTGAAAATAACCATGAAAAAGTTTCTTTTGTTTCGTCTGAAACAAAAGCAGTTGCTACAAGGCGGGAACGATTGTGATTATCTATCAGAATAACAACACACAGTATCATGGAATAACGATTTGTTTTTGCTGTCGTGTCAAGTAAAACTACATCATGAAAACAACTCTACAGTTGTAGTTGACTAGGACTCATCCAACAAAGTCTTGTGAGATGATTATCTTGACCTTCAAAACACACGTTCACATGAAAAATTGGATTTTCTTGTTGTTGTTTCATAAGTTCAAGGTACATTGAACCTGCATCACTACTTGTATTATTTTGGTTTCAGATGGTTTGAACCATATTATAAATGTTTCGAGAATAGATGAACTTGTCCGGATATTTAACTTGCAAAACTTCTATAATTGCGTCAGCACGAACACCACAAGTTGCAAGAAGTTTTACATCGTCATGCATCTCAGGAGTAAGCTTACGATAGTGGGATGCAACTATGTTGATATTTTCCACAAGCGGATGATTATATTCACCATTGATTTTCGTGATATAAACAAGATTATCTCTTTTTCTGCGGTAAGCATTAATATAAAATTTGCAATCACCCGAATGATGTCCTCTATCACGTTCTTCATTGATATGTGCTTCTTTTTGTGGTACATATGCTCGACCCTTTGTACATGCATAAGTACGGCGTCTAGGGAAACTGTCATGTTTATCCTTATCACTATGAGTAATTGTAAAAGCAAAACCTTGCTCTAATCCATGTTTATCAAGCCACCTAGTACAAAATGATAAAAAATGTTAGTCTATTACAATACGACTGAAATTTGCACTTTATATTTGAAAATGTGAAGTATAAGAAATTTGAACTGTAACTATTGTAGTTTTCTAACAATAAATTTAGTTCAATTATATCGCTAGTGTACAAAAACAATGTTTTTGACTGTTTATTTTTGCATTTTTTGTGAAATTAGCCAGTATAATATGCTACGTTTAGTTACTTACTTGTCAAGTTTTTTCCAATCTGTAAAAGCCATTTCCGGTGCCACTTGATACAATTTTTCTTAATTTTCAACTTCATTTTCACCAAAAAATTCATCAAAAGACTGTTCATTATCAGTTAAAAGGTCTTCCAGAATTTCAGTTTCGTCAAGTTCGTTAAGTTTATTAAGTTTGTTAGACATTATTAAGTGGAAAAGGGAAATAAAATATCCAATAGAAGGGCGGAGAAACGGATAAAATTATCTGATAAACAAATAAAATACTGACACGTTTTATTTCATGATGTCATAATATAATCAAATAATCACGTGATCACGTGGTGTGGTGTTTTCGACACCAGTGGTGCGATTTATAATTTTCGTATTTAAAATAGATTATTGCTAAATCTCGCCAGTGGTGATTTTCACCGTTATTAATGTTGGCAAAAATTATGATTTAGCCAGAATTATAAAAAATTTTTTTGCAAATTTTTACCGAGAAAAAAAATTAAATGTAAGTAGTTTTTTTAAATATTGAACTAGTGTTTGGAATCGAATATATTTGAATATACTCTAGTATTCATTTAAATTTATAAAGTGTATTCGAATAATATTCGAATAAGTTAAATTTCCTTTTATAGTAATGATTTACATAATTTTTAGCCTGAATTATGATTTTAACTCAGTTAAATTTAAGGATTTAATGACAAATTAGAATTTTAACTATACTATATCTG